TTTACCAAAAGCAAAATGAGTCCATTTTGACTACGCTTCTCTTTAGCAAACAGAGCAGAGCTGAAAGGTGGCTTCACTCTTCAGTTTCAAAGTGACTTGGTTCCTTTTTTGAATACTCCAAGTCATGACTGGCACAAACATCTTGGACTGCTCTGCCTGAAGTACTTTGATCCACCCAGAACAATTAATTCCCCTGGAATTTTATTCCCTGGGGAAGTCTGAAGAATTTCCCTTCTGAAATGAATTAAAAACTTCCAAACACACAAGATTTCCCATGGTGCCATTGGAACACAGCTTTTGATTCTCCAGTGCTGCCACACTGTGTAGCCACTGACACCAGGGCAAATTAGGTGCATCAAAACCCAAACGTCTTCCCTTCTTGGTTGTGCAAAGTCTGTGGACAAGCCAACCCAGGCCTGAGTGACCAGGAGGTGGAGGACAACAAAGAATCAAGCCACAAAGGCTGAAGAAAAATCAACCCACTGCATTTCTCCCAGACTGCAGACAGCTGCAAAGAGCTCTCACATTGCATGGAGATGGAGCCCTGGGACCCAGATAAGCTGGCAAGGTGCATCATGGAAAGACAAAGGAATTGGTGACCCTCCTCTGTTCTCTCATCCCACTTTCTCTCCCAATAATATTTGCTGTGATCAGGCTGCTTGGCAGCTGGGTGGAGTGCGCAGAAATCATTAGCTCACGGCATGGAAAAAAGGAGTGCCTGCCTGGTGTTTATCTCGCTCAGAGGATCCGACATGACCGACGCTTCCTGTGGGGGATAAGTTCACCCGTTGCCATGAGCCAGACATCTCCATTGGCAGCACCCAGCATCCTCCTCAGAGCCAGCAACCCCGATGCTTGTCCCGTTTGGCAGCTGGCACCAAGCTGGAGACCTCAGGGGCAAGAACAAGGCCCAGGGACATACACCAGAGCCCTACAGCGTTGGCCAGGTCCTTGCCGCTCCCGGCACCCCTTCCCATCGTCATGGAAACGGACCAATGTTCTAAGATCGCTGCGCCCAACCTCCCCGTCTCCCTCCCGAGGCTCCAGCCCTGACCTCAGCTATGATCAGTCCTGGTGCTATAGGGGGTTAGATGGAGACATGGGGCCTGACCTCTCCATCCTTCCCCATCTCTTGGGGCTACAGGTATCCTCAGCTCAGAGCCCCCGCAGGCCACGCCGATCCCGTCTGCCAGAAGAGCCTCCCAGGTCCAAGAGGGCCGTTTGGCCCCCAGCTCTCCGGGTCACACTGCCCTCCTCTCAGCCCACGGGGAGCAGCTCTCCACGCTGAGCACGGCTGCTGCACGGCCCACAGTGCACAGAACTGCCTTAAAGGTCCGTCAGCAACAGCAGGCCAGCCTGCAGGTCTCAGCCTGAGCAGGGCAGCTCTGAGTTTCCAGCAGTGCTCTCCCTGGGTGAAGGAAGGTGGGAGAGGAACCCCCGCTTCCTCTGACCCCTTGCAGCCAGACACCCCCGCCCCTTTGGAGCAAAGCACAAGGGAGAGGCGACTGGCCTCCACCCCCTCGGAGCGCTCCCTTGAGCTGCTTTTGGCTCTGCTGGCTTCCCCCCACCTCCACGGCGCTGCTGCTGCATGATGAAAGGTTGATGAGCAGGCTTGTGAGAATCCTGCGCCTCGGCCAGCCCAGCCCAGCCCCAGCTTGCAAAGCCATGGGGGGCTGGGTGTATTCTCCACAGCGCCAGCCAGAGATGACCCTGAGCATCAGCCAGCCTTTCATCAAAATATTTTTAAAAGGTGGGGGCAGGGAAGCCTCTCCTCCCTCTCCGTAGGGACAGGACTTTCCGAGGCCACAAGCGCTCGGAGGGACACACAACCCAGCCGGCGAGGCAGTGAAATAGGAGCCACATTGGTTGCTCTTATTGGTATAGGAGGAAGGGCTTATTTCCAGGCTAGGGGCTTGACAAGTCTGACCAGCCCCCTCTTCCAGCCGGCAGTTAAGCTCAGTGGTGCGGCAAAACCCGTCCCGGCTGCTTTCCAGCAGGGGACCTAGGCAGGGCTTTCGGGTGGATTTGGAAAACTCTGCCCCTGCTCCAGTGTCGGTGCGGCTTTGGAGTCGGCAGAGGAGCCTGGCTCTGAAGGGGGAGGCCAGAGAACTCCCCCCACACTGCCTGGATTTCTGCGCAAGGCGCCTCGGGAAGAGCAAGCAGACTGGAGCAGAGAACTGTACACTCCCTGTCCTTCCTCCACCACCCCCGTTCCTCTCGCTGGATGCAGGGGTAGGGGCTGGCAGGAGCACCCTGCCCCAGGACACAGCATGCCAGCGTGACAGACATGCCTGCAGCCGATAGGGAACATCCAGAACTGCAGCCGAAAGGGTTTAAAGGCCAAGTGTGTTGGAAGGAGAGACACTCCCTCCTTTGGGCCAGCTGCCCGCTTTGAGCTAATGGGGGGCATTCCCCAGGACAGGTCCCCCCATCAGTGCTAATGACGGCTCTTGCCCCTTCCTCTGAGGCAGCTGGTCCTGGCAGACACTGGGCTAGATGGACCTGGGGTCGGCGCAAGCCAAGCAATTCTCATGCATTTTTGGTCTTTACCGACAGGTTTCTGCTGGTTTCTGGGATGCGTCTCCAATGTGCAAGAAAACAGGGGGCAGAGATTGTCTGAATACTGAGCACTCGTCTCCCCCACCCTCCCTTAGTGTGTGACAGAATGGGGCAAAAATCAGGGTCTCTAGAACCCAGGGTCCGATCCCCCCCCAAGATACACTGCAGGGCTTCTACCCTATTGTGTGGCCAGCTGGGACCCCTGAACTCAGTTGCTTCTGATGTCATTGTCTCCTGGCCCACTGCTGTGTGTTTCATCCAGCTTCCCATCAGCCCAGCTGGTCACGAGCCCCGGGGCAGGGACTGTCACCTTCCTAGCTGGTCTGTACAGCACCTAGCACAGAAGAGCCTGCTCCTCATTTAGCTCCCAACGGGCTGCAGAGGAGAAGTGAACTCATGGTAATAATCAGGTGCCGGCCTTGCAGGTTCATGAGTTCACCCCACTGCTCTGAGCTGGAAAGAGCCTTTTTATCAAATCCTGCTGCCATCCACGGAGCTGGGTTCATGCCACAGGAAACACAGACGGGGCGGCCCCATCAGCTGCTACCCCAGTAACCTATCCCTTCACCTGAAATATTGCAAAAGAATTGTATCACCGATTAGAGGGAGACAACACAACGGGAGTTCATTTAGAAGTTCAACGCTATCAACTTGAGCTTGAACAAAGACATTCACTGGCTAACGCACTACAAAAGCAATTTCCCCACCTTTGATATTCACATTTCCACATCCACTGCTGTGAGTGAGATACCTCCAGCCTGACTTAATTAGCTTCATTAACACTGGTCCTACACTTGACAGGTAACTTCTTTTGCTGTTATATATACACCCTGGACTCTAATTCCCACTCCAACTCATCTGATGAAGTGAAACACCCAGGAAAGTTCATGATCTAATAAATCTGTTCGTCTCTAAGGTGCCCTGGGACTGCTCGCTGTTTTCAGTTACAGACTAACATGGCTCCTCCTCTGAGACCTGAGCTGAAAGCGCACAACTCACTTTTGAAAACTGCCTTCCTCCCACACTTGTTTGGCACATCTCAGAACGGGGACTGGCTCCACAGTTTCCTTCACTCCCTAGCTGTAATTCAGGCAAAGCACAACTCCCCTTCTTCCCCCTGCCCCACTTCTGGGCTTGGTGCAGCTCAGGGTTATTTGGTTAGACAAAGCCCCCGATGACTCAGCACTGGTCCCCTACACCCTGTCAATCTGGCTTCATCCCAGCCCTGGGAGTTTAGGTCAATCCAAGCCGGCTGCTCCAGGTTGCCCCATGAAGTTCAGGGAGTGCAGGCTGCCTCCAAAGCAGAAGAGTCTGCTGGCCAGCAACACACCCTTGTAGGCGGTTTTCCTGCCCCAGCAGGAAGCTCTCACTGTCAGCAATCAGGACTGAACCCCTTCTGCATAGAGTGCTCCACCTTTACAGGGTGGGAATTAGCCCTTCAAAAGCAGGCAGGTGAGTGTGCAACAGAGGTGTGAAATGGGGGAGAATCCCACCTGTGCACTCACATCCCCACCTTGGTGCAGACACATTCCTCCCCCCCATCCCTCTGGTTACGGTTACTTTGCGCCATGCGGCTCAAGGGGAACCCAGGGCTTAGCCCCAGTGTTCCCTCATTTTTTCCATCTATGTGCAGAATAAATTTTGGTCTGTGCACCAAGATGCGCACCACCAGAAGGAACACATGCTGCAGGCGTTCTGCTAATCAACTGGTTGGCATTTGACTCTCCTGGGCAGCTGCCCAAGCACTCGGTTTACAGGGAGCACTGCTTAGCCCCCAACCAATCTTCTCCCAAAGCAGTCAGTGACTATCAACTCCGCCAGCAGGGGGCAGTACTGTCCCTCCCACAATGGCTGGTAGCACGCCGAAGGCAAGCAAGGCTGGTGCAGCTAGCATGCCTGCGCTGCAGTGATGCAATCCAAGGCTTGGCACAAGAGGCGTGGGAGCACCCAAGCTTAATGTGGTGGGAGTGAGATCATACCGAGTGAATGGCCGTGCTAGGAACAGAACCTAGAAGACCAGCTCCCAGTTCCACTCCACCCTGCTTGCCAGCGAACCCCTCTCGCCTGCTGAGTCCAGACCAACATTCCCTCAACTCTTCCAAAGTTGTGCAGATTTGTTCCTGTCATGTGCGGAATACATTTTATGTGCACTGAGGCCACATGCACCACCCACAGAAAAAAAATCTTGCTGTGGGCACTCTGATAATCAGCTGGGTGGCATTTGAATTTCCCCTGAGCGGCTGCACAAGCGCCCATTTACAGGGAACCTTGGTCCAGATTCCTGGTATTTAGCACACCCAACCTCATTCCCCTCCCAAAGTCTAGAATAGAACCCAGGAGTCAGAACCCCCCATTGCCCCTGCTCTTCCCCATGGGCCCCCACTCCCTGAACACAAAGCGGGTGCACTGGGCTGATTCCTCTGCCTTCTCTCCCCCCACAGGTACATCGGGGCTCTGGGAGCAAGGGTGATCTGCGACAACATCCCTGGATTAGTCAACAAGCAACGGCAACTCTGCCAGAGGTATCCTGATATCATGCAGTCCGTCGGGGAGGGAGCCAAGGAGTGGATCCGGGAATGTCAGCACCAGTTCCGGCACCACCGCTGGAATTGCAGCACTCTGGATAGAGACCACACGGTCTTCGGGCGAGTCATGCTCCGAAGTAAGTGCTTGCCTTTCCCAGCCCCTGCCGGGCAATTACTGCCTTACTCTAACTCGCACTGGTCTGCGGGTGGGAGTGGATTGAAAAATGCCAATTAATTTTGGTGGGACATTTCCAATAGCTGTTTCCTCCACACCCCCTTTCCCTGGGGCTTTTGCCCCAATAGGAACCCAAGAGCATATTTAAAAATTGTGGCGGAAATGAGTTTGTAGCTCTCCATCAAGAACCAGATTGGGGGTTTCTCCCAAACTAAATTTTGATGGATCGACTAGCTGGCTCCACACTGCATATGGTGTCCAAGAAACCCAGGCGTTGGCCAGACACAGGGGGATGGTCGGGGGGGTTGTGTTTCACTGAGGAAAGGAGCACTGAAGAGAAGAGGGTTAGCTACAGTCTGAAGATAGTGAGACACACCTGGAAGGGAAAGAAAACTAGCTGGTCCCTCCCCCTGGATCTATGAGCTCTGCAGTTAAGTTCTCACCTCTGAGTTACCAAGTACCTAACGGCTGGGAGTGGAGAACCCAGAGGGAAGGAGAGCGTTGGCTGGAGGATCTGACATGGATGCTCCTTCTACCTTTGATTTCTGCCCAACTGGAGCAGGGGAAGGAGGTCGAGCTAGAGGACTCACCTAGGAAGTCGGGCTGCTGCCTGGCACAGCAGGGATGCAGCAACCCAGGAAGCCAATGACCTGACTGCCATTTCCACCCACAGGCAGAGAGGCAGGGGGCTTTCAATGCACCTTTGCATCTACCAGTGTAAGTCAGAGCAGCCCCAGGGCAGCTCTAACTTAGACTCGGCTTCTATGGCCCGGAGGGAGCAGTCCAGCAGCTAAGACCCCCAAATGCAGAAAAACCATCTTTCCACAGCCCTGATGCCCCATCACCCTTGGAAACAGATGGGGAGGGGCTATCGGCCCTGTGCCAAGGGGGTGTCCCAGTGGCTTCACAGCCCCTCTCTCGCACCGAGCAGCCCCAGGGCAGCTCTAACTTAGACTCGGCTTCTATGGCCCGGAGGGAGCAGTCCAGCAGCTAAGACCCCCAAATGCAGAAAAACCATCTTTCCACAGCCCTGATGCCCCATCACCCTTGGAAACAGATGGGGAGGGGCTATCGGCCCTGTGCCAAGGGGGTGTCCCAGTGGCTTCACAGCCCCTCTCTCGCACCAGT